TCTGTATGCCAGACAGAGAGAAAACACATACAGGTTCCCAGAACTCTACAGGGTCTGTTCTGTGGAGCCGTGTTGCCTCTCTGATGAATGTTTCAAAATAACCATAGACAGAATATACACAAGACATATATTGTGATCAAAGACCAAATGAGAATTTTTATGGGAGAGTCATAAATGTCAAAACAAAAACAAAAAACGCTTCTCAAAACAAAATATGGAAAACCAAAAAAAAATCTACTGAATAAATATAAGAAATAAGAAGACTTCTAAAATCACACCATATTTTTTAAACACTCAGTGACTAGTACCAGAACCTGATGGATAACTTAGGACATTTCTGTCACTAATAGCCAGAGAAGATCATCGAGTGGTCAGAGCTGGTCCTGGGGTGCAGGACGGGCATATAGCAGATCTTAGCCTTTTATGTTCCCCCTGGGTCTGTCCAGGAAACTGGCAGGAAAAACTCTAATCCTGGTAGTATTTTAGTTCCTGTGAGCCACCAACATACAATATTTGTAATCAGCATTTCCTACACAGTCTGATTTCCTCATTGTCCCCATGGTCTTCTCATTTCTATGGCTATTAGGAATCTTTCCAGACAGGAAACTGCTATTTTCATTAAGATGCTATCAGAGCGCAGATTCAAAGGAATGCTACTTAAGGGGAGTTTTATTCCAAAATAATGAAAAAAAATGACATGATTGTATGGATTTTACCAAATGTTCTACCCAGAGAAGACAAAACAGCTAAGAAATCCATCTATCTTCCCACCTCCTTTCACCTACACGATTCCATCCTCCATTCTGGCTGTGGCTATTTAGAAAGCAGATGCTTTAGGAAGCCAGCCAGGGAAAGTTCAGTTAGTTGGGTCCATGAGAGCTCCCTCCAGGCCCCATCAGGACTTTTCTGGCTGCTTGGACTTCCTGAAGGATGAGTGAAAGTGGGGGATACAAAGACCTGGAGGCTTCCTCTGAGCTCCCTGTTTGGATGCAAATGGCAGTTAAAGGTTCAGGAGGCAGAGCTGGGAGCAGGTCTTTATCTTCCTCAGGTGGGACGGAGGCTGGGCAGGCAGGGATGGTTGAGGGGTGATGGTGTCTGGTTTTCCAGTAAAACTCCTCCGGTGACAGCTCTAACTCCCACCAGGCCTGTTTTCGAAGAGGAAAATGTTTTATCTGAACCTGGGAGGACTCCCTCTCCCAAGATAAACGTATCAGGCCATCCTCCTTTCACTCTTGAATTGTAGACTCCACTTTCATTCTTGGTTAAGGTTAAGAAAGTCTTAGCGTACAACATGCTGGAAATGTGGCGGTGGGTGCAAACAATGGGAACTAGGGAGAATAGTGGGAGACATTTAGCGCAGACCTCGGGGTGCTCTACTTACCCTGGGAGGTTTACAACAGGAGGGGGAACTCTTCTCTGCCTGTCTCTTCAGAGGAAAACCTTGAAACCCTTCCCACCCCGGGGGGCCGAATTACCCGCTGCAATCCCATGGGAGGCCCTTGTGGCCGTGGCACTAATGCACACAGAAGAAGTGACAGAGTTATGAGCTGAAGAAGCCCCCGGAGTTGGGTTTCCAGCAGACACAGGCATGTTATGGAAAACAAGATAAATAGAAGAAAAAAGCTTTTGCACCTTCCATTTAAACAGGAAGTAGACTATTCCAAAGGCTAAGATACCTTTCCCAAAAGGACACTCCCAAATTTATTTTTATGTCTCCGTGAGCTCCCCACAACCAGGAGAAAAAAGCAGGCCAAAAGAGATATAATACGTAGTTAATTGTTCTTTTTGGACAGACTGTTGACACCAAACACCAACCCTTTCTTTTCTGGCATGGATGCGGAGGCCTCCATGTGGGTGCAGTGCGAACTAGTACTGACAGAGGGAGAGGATCCTGCAGCCTGGGTGTGACGGGCCATGAACATGTCCTGGAGCCCATAGAGAGGACTGGAGCTTGAGAGAACTTGTGCCTTCCCTGGTCCAAGCCATTTAATTTACAGAAAAGTACACCAAGACCCAGGGAGCTTAAAGAGCCCAAAGTCACATGGACAAGTAGCAGCAAGCAAGGACTAGAACTACCCTTTGTTTCCTGGCCACCACCCCGACCCCATGCTGCAGCCACTTGGGGCCCCCAGAATCTAAGATAAAAACAAGCAAGTGAAGGAAAACGTCTTCAGGGTGGAGAGCTCAGTAGTCCTCAGCCTGCCACTAGAAGAGTTTATAAAGAGTATGTCCAGTTCTTTGGGGTGACTGTTCCTTACTCAGAACCCCTTCAGTAGGACTGAGGAGCAGCCCCTTGGGATGGTGCAGCAGCTGTGGAGCCGGTGGTGACCCTGCCATTGCAGCTGCTGTTCTGCCAGGCCCCCTCAGGAAGACATCAGAGGTGTAGTAGAAACGTTCCTTATTAAAGAAGTGGAGAATGGCAATTGTCCAAGTTGACCACAGTACATAGCCTCGTTACCGGAGCAGATGAGGCAGTGTTATTTACCTTGTTACCGGAGCAGATGAGGCAGTGTTATTTGCTAGATTTTGCTTTGAAACATCCCAAGGAAAGACGTCTCCTCTTGGATTGCAGTAGAAACGCTTCACAAGGACCTGCTTGTACAGGATTTGGGATGAGAGTGTGTGTGCCGCACGGTGCCAGAGGGAGGCAGGAGGCTGGGGCAGCTCCTCCAAAGCTGGGCAACGGAGGTTTCCTTGTCCCTGCTGATTTCTGATTAAGCAACTTGGTGAAAATCCAAAAGCTCTTAGGAGAACAGGAGGGGTGGCATTTGCTCTCCAGTGCTTGGAAGCAGATCCTGTGAAGACTCTAAAGCCCCGAGTATCAAAGCACAGCCACCTGGTCAGGAAGTTCAAGTGCGCTAGGTGTGGGCCCAAGGCTGGAACAAGCATGTTCACCTCCAAGGGAGCTCCCCTCCTGGCTGGTGCTGCCTTCAGGCTCAGGGACCCACCTGCTCCTGTTCCCAGCTATCTGGGGCCTCACACTGGTCCGGGAGCTGCTTCACTGTGGCTACCACGTGGTGGGAATTTTTGGGTTGTAGGTTTTGTTTTGCTAGACATGGAGGTGAGCAAGTAGACAAAAGCCCCCTGTGGAGGATTCCTCTCGGTTCTGTTCGCCTGGCTCAGCTTGCATCACCTTCTCTCCCACCTACTGTCTCTTCCTCCCGTGGCCTCACTGGCCTGGGCCCTCCTCTCTGCTGCTCAGCCCATGTCCTCAGTCAACTCTCAGGCCACCTCTGCAGACGAGCCCTTGCCTCCCCGGATAACCCCCCGAGCCCTCGGCATTCTCAGGCAGTGGCTGGAAGGCATGGCATCTGGAAGAGCCGGGAAGCCAGCCCTGGACTGGGACTCTCAGTTATGGGAACACACAGAGTAAGAAAACAGCCTGAATGTCTTCTTTTAAAATCTCCTCCTCTTCTCCATCCCACGAGGACTTTTCTGTCTTGTTACCGTACGTCTTGATACTCTAGAAATTTCCTTTTTAAGCCAGATGTCTGAGGAAATTAGCAGGCAGTCCAGGAACTGATACATGGGCACACTTTCCGACTTCTTTTCTCCTGTTAAAGAGTATGACAGTGAATTCACAGCTCCCCTGATAAGTTGTAAGCATGCATGGATGGAAGTCAAGATTGTCGGGTTTCGATTGTGTTGTCTTTTGGCCAGAATGTCTAATTGAGCTGTGGGGCTTTTCCAGACCCCTGACACACAAGGGTTAGCCTACAGAGAGCGGGCCTTATACATGTCTTTCTGTGGGAAGGGCCAGTTGGAAGCAAAGCCCCACTCTGGGCTTGTGAACACTAAAGCCGTTTCTCGGCTGTAGAGTGTGGATCCTGGGTTTGCTTCCCAGCTCCGCCACGCATGAGGCCTGTGACCTTGAGCAGGTCACAGATATCTCTGTGCCTCAGTTTTCCCATCTGTGAACTGGGAGGAATATAATCACCTATCTCATAGGGTTTCTGGGAGGATTAAATGAGCTCTATGTTATAGAACAGTGTCTTAGACACATGGCATTTCATGAGTCTTGGCTACTATTTATTTTATTAGTAGTATATGAACTGATTGTGTAAGAACCAGTCTTCCTGTGGCGACAGGTCCAGTCAATCACTAAATTCCTTTTGACTTTATTGTGTGACCTTTTTCTTTCTTTACACGGAAACAACCCTACTTCGATTACTTATTACCAGTCCAGATCAGTCTTGATTTAAAAACAGGGCTGGGCGCGGTGGCTCACGCCTATAATCTCAGCACCTTGGGAGGCCAAGGTGGGCAGATTGCTTGAGGTCAGGAGTTCGAGACCAGCCTGACCAACATGGTGAAATCCCATCTCTACTAAAAACACAGAAAAAAAAAAACAGCTGGGCATGGTGGCGCATGCCTGTAGCCCTAGCTACTCAAGAGGCTGAAGCAGGAGAATTGCTTGAACCCTGGAGGCGGAGGCTGCAGTGAGCCAGGATCGCGCCGCTGCACTCCAGCCTGGGCAATGGAGCAATATTGTGTCTCAAATAAATAAATAAATAAACAAACAAGAAGGCCCCGGGCATCATGTGCATTTTGCCAGCTTGCACTGTTAGTGTTGTGTGTGTTTTCCCTGGCATGTTTTCAGCTTCATAAATTAGCGGCTCTCCTGCGGCATCAGGCAGACGGGAGTATTTCCTCTTAATTGGCAGTGGGAAAGTGGAGACGGGGACCAGTGACCCACTGTGTATGATTCCCACCCTGAGCTCAGCCGCAGCCCCCTAGAAATAGGAAACCTACCCTCAGAGCCGTTCCCATCCCAGCATCAGCAGCGAGAACCATGGGACCCCAGTCAGCCTGCACACGGCCGCCACGGCCCCTCTATGGCCATAGGTTTCTTCATCTCAAGCCTCCAACTATCCAAGGCTAAGGAGGCCAGGTGTCGCACACCACTCGCCCGCACTCTGCCAAAAAAGCAGCGTATCTAAACCTAGTGTGCTCCCCCAATTCTCCTGTTAACCAGTTTCTCCTGTGTGCTTCACTTTCAGATGGGTATGCTTTTTCTCAAGAAGAACACGGAGCTGTGAGTCAGGAAGAAGTCATCCGTGCTTATGACACCACCAAAAAGAAATGCAGGAAGAAGTAAGACTTGAATTTTCCTGACTGATCTTAGGAAAGAGATTCAGTTTGTTGCACCCAGTGTTAACACATCTTTGTCAGAAAAGACTGGCGTCCGCAGCCAAAACACCAGAAAACACATTTCTGTGGCCTTAGCCAAGCAGTTTGTTAGTTACATATTCCCTCGCAAACCTGCAAACCTGGAGTGTAGACCGCAGGGGAAGCTATCTTTGCCCTCCCAACTTGTCTGCAGCGCTTAGCCTAACTTTTGTTTACGTCGTTATGAAGCAGTCAACTGTGCTCTGTGAGGTGTGAAATTAAAAACATTATGTTTCACCAGTATTTAAACATCAGTACTAGTTGTCCTGGGAGAAAGGGAAAGTTTTATGTTGCGTGAGAAGCCCGTCTTGTGTAATTGGAGCAGGGCACACTTGCTTCCTGTTTGGTTAACTCACAGATTACATCCAGCGGGCCACATGCAGACTTCACTGCAGGCAGGTTGCTCTCCTGCTTTGATTCCTGTTTTGTTTGTGTAAAGTTGGCATAAACTTCTTGATTGCAGTGAAATCACAAAATTCTATGTCGGGGTAGTCAACCTGAGAAGATTTATTTGAACCTCTTAGCCACATTTCCAGCAGGGCAAACCGACTGATGCCCTGGCAGAGTCTTCCGCACCCTCTCCAGGTGCACTCGGCCCAGTCCCGCCGCCGTGTCCAGGCGTCCCTCACCCCCACACCTGCTGCATGGCTGGCCACGGCGCTCAGTGCATGGCGGCTGGTGGGCAGCCAACCCAAACCTGCGCCTTTCCTTGTTCCGCTGCAGACTCGGAAACAGATGCGAAAAATTCCTTCTTCCGCCGCCCTTTTTGTTCTGTAAAGAAAGAAAAGGAGCATCGCCTTTCCGCATATATTCTAAATGTCCCTGCCTCTGTCTGACATGGGGCCACCCCACAGGTCAGAGTGGTGGTAGAACCCCTTCAGCACTCCCAGCCGTGGTCAGGCTCTGAATACTCCCTTCCCAACAGCCAGACTGCTGGGTCTTTGGCATCCACTTACGTTAGAACACATGCTTCTTTCAGAGCACATTTTGGACTTTCACTGTTGGGAAATGAATGAATTTATAACATGCCCGTGCAGCGAAGGAACACACCTGTCGCTCTTAGGTCTAGAGTCAGAGGATGAGTAAACCCAGATGCGAGAGTATAGGACATTGAGCGGGGAGAACAAGACAACCACAGGAGTCCTCAGAAGCAGAAGGAAGGGCACGGAAGACACTGAGAGGAGGACACGGAGGAATCGCCACCAGATCTCCGCAGTAGAAACTCTGAAACGAACCCTGAGACCCAGACAGTTGTCATGATCAGCCCAGTGTGTATGAGAGCTTAAACAAGCGCTTCACACGCAGTTTTAATTGAAAAGAATTCCAAACATTTCAGGGAAGCACCTTTTTTTAAATACACCGACATGGTTTCCTTTCTGTATCCCATCAGTGTTAGACACAGGTACCCATCAGAATACGGCATATCCCGAATTCTGAGACAAGGAAGCAAAGTGCTGAATCACTGATTTTCCCAACTGCAGAGTCCCACACTCTAAATCTTAACCAAACCTAGATGCCTTCAGGCGTGAATGTGAGCATCTGGAGCCCTTCCTAAACAACCTGCCTGGACCCTGTTCTCTGCTCTGGTTGCCAGGCCAGATTTTTGGATGGCCTGAATACTTCTGGGCAGCTGTTACTGGTGAAAATGGGAGTTCAGAGCACGTTTTGGATCTTCACTGTTGGGAAATGAATGAATTTCTAACATGCCTGTGCAGCGAAGGAGCACACCTGTCGCTCTTAGCTCTAGAGTCAGAGGATGAGTAAACCCCGTGGGGATGATTGTGCTAAATTAGGAAATAGCACATTAGTGCACTTTGCTTCCTAACCCTTTATTTTCAGAAATCTACAACTTACTGGGCATGGAAATAATTTAAAACATGATTTGCATTGACTAAGAAAACAAATCCTCACTTAGGAGGTGACCAGGATGCAGAGAGGGCCTGAGGGGCAGCAGAACAATGCAATTCACAGGTGAGGCTCCCAAAAGGGCCATTCCTTTCTCCCCAAGGTGCATAAAACATTTTTGAATACTGGAGTGCCCAGTGAGACTGAAGGATTGTCATGCAGGAACTGTAACACAAAATGTGCCTATGACTAACACGACAAACCAAGGTGTATGGTTTTTTTTTTTAACACACCCAGAAAGGTGATGGCCAAAACACAGAGGAGAAACAAAAACTGGAATTGAATGCGCATTAGGCATCGTAACTATTAATATTTTGTTTTATTTGGGAAATAAGCCTATTTGGAAAGAGTGGATTAGAAATTCAGTTCTTTGTCAAACAGTTAGCTCTGTCTTGAACTTGAAGCCTTCCAAATCAGAATTATGAATTTGTGTGTTTGTGTTTGTTTGGGGTTTTTGTTTTTATTTCTTACATTAGAGTTCATATTTTCTGGGATTTAAATTACAGGTGTATTTTCCTATTCTCTTGAGAAGTAGACTAAACAATCTTTGCAATGATGGCGGGTGCACACAGAAGAAAACATTAGAAGACATTACTTTCTATCCTCTCATGTGGTTGAGCATTCTTACAGCCAGATGACTAAATTGGGTTTCTAGGAGGAGCAGCTGTCACTACATGTGATATATAATGTTTAGCCAGGGCCAACTCAGGGGCTGTGTCATTTGTCCTATCTTCAAATTGAGGTCAGAGTGTCACACACAACCCCTTCCCTGGGGCAGGGTGGACTGGACTAGGTTGCATACGCTGGCTGTCAGCTCAGCGAAAAAGCCACATGGGGCTTGTCACTCTGCCACACACTAACTGACTCACAGGCTGGCAGGTCACACTCGGTTAGCGCTCCAGGGCCTGACTCTGGATTGAGCTAAACTGGCAGAATCCACTTAGGCCAACCCTTGGTCTACTGCTGTACACAGCCCGGTCCTGTGTTGAGTCTCTCTTGTCTTGGATGACCCTGCAAAAGGAAGAGACCAGTTATGCTCTGGGCTTAGTTCTGGGTTTCCACTGCACATGGACACGTGCCAGCAAGGGTAGCTGTGGAAAACACGTATCAGGAGAGCAGGGTTGTCTGGTTTAATACTCCGTACTGATCAGAACGGGCTCGCTCATAATTTAGGAGTGGAGCTGATGGGTCTGTCCTGCCTCAGTGCAGAATATTCCAGGCTGCTTGACCACGGTTATGGCCGCCCACCTCCCAACACACACGCGCACATGAAGACAAAAACGTGGTAACTCTTTTGGTTCTGTACACCGTACAAAACGTGCTTTGGAGCAAGGAGTGCTGTTTCTTTAACACTTGTAGAGGACTATCCTGAGAAGTGAACCTGGGCTTTCGGAGAGCTCAGCTGAGAATTCGGTTGACATTTTCTTTCCCTTGACAAGGCTTCAGGTCTGTCTGACTATGGGGAGCTGGCTGTGAAAATCGGTAATAACTTGTCAAGAAGTGGTGAAAAGGGGGGAAAAGTGAGTCTAGGTAACTAATGTCTTATAATGCATATATAAGTAAATATTGCAGGCTTTAAGATTGAATTTTGTAAAAAGAAAGCTGTCGTCTATAATTTCCATTTGTTATAATAATGACCTTTAATCTTGTTGTTTGGAACCATAAAGCATTTTTATCAGGTACTTCTGTTCCAAGGGATTTATGTCTTAGACTATAGCTGAATTGAATGTTTGCAAAACTCTGCTATAGGATAAGGTGGTCTTTAGTTTTGAACGTGTGAAAAGACTGCACACTCTTCAACCAGGGTTTGAGTTACTGCCCAGGGTCATTGTCTCAAAGTAATTCAAGGAGTGATTTAACTTCAGCATTTGAAATGTAGCCTTTATCTCCTGGGATCCATAAAAAAATGTGAACAGGGAAATGGTGGCTGAGCAGAGCCTGAAATAATAACTTGGCAAAGAAATGCGTTTATCAGATCGAGTCAAAACATGGCATCCCCTGTTACATTCAAGAAATGCTTTCTTCATGTAAATGTTTACACGGACGTATATAATAACGATGGGGACAGTTAAAACCCCCTCCCTTCAAAAAAAGGAAATCTACATCAGTTGGGTTTGTTGTTGGTTCTTCATTGGCTCAAGGCAGTTAACCGGCTCATAATAGCCTTGGGGGAGATTATTTAACCTCATTCTAGCCATTTTTCCATCTCGAAGGCCAAGAAGGACTATTAGAAGGGTTTTGGATGGGTTTCGGAGGTGAGGGCCCAAGACCCCCATAATGACATCATTAGGTATCCTTGAAAGGACCAGACCAGCATGCTCGATGTGTTGTACCCTTCATTTATTTATTTTTTCTCAGTATCCCAAGTTGTCCATCAGTACATTCCCCTTCACCTTACCTGATGTTCACTTAATGCCCAGTCTGTAACTAATGTTCTGTTTAAAGCTCTCTTAATTTGTTGGCTATGAGTGATTTGTGAATCCGGGATGTAACCCTGAGTGAGGAGAAAAGAGCATTGAGCCAACATAAATCTTAACAGGCAGAAGCCACAAACAAATGGGAGCAGAAAAGAAGGGCGAGCTCCCCGCACCGCGCCCCTTGTATAATCCAGTGTTAACCTCCGAGGAACACCTCGGCTCTCCCGACCGAGGACGGACAAAAGAGGGATTCTTTTTACACCCAGGCTGGCGCGTTTTCAAGTGACAGTCTCTGGCTCTAGTTGCCTTTGAGATATCCACTCTGCTCTTTCTCCCAGGCCTCAGACCAAGAAAAACATGCTCTCAAGATTAGCCCATAGGCAGTTCTTGTGACCTGGCTGAAGAAAGAAAGGAGACCTGTTTGTTTTAAAAGTCAGGCGCAAAGTGTCAGGTAGCTTTGATTTACGACAGAAAGAGGAAGAAGAAAGTTGGAGTAATAGCACTGTCCAAATAACCCTGCCCAGGAAACTTGGGGGTCAAGAGAGCTTATCAAGAGCCTTTTATAGGTAAGCTCTTCCGTGTGAAAGAGAAAAGGCCGGAAAGAGGGAGAGAGCCCAGAGAGCCGGCTGTGAACTCACTTCCAATGGGATTGGAGTCTGTTGCATTCCTAGAGATAGCCTGATATATGGTTTATAGCTGAATCAATAAACACCACCAAAAAAAAAAAAAAGGGAAAGGAAACCTGCCCTGTCGTGGAGTTTCTCTCTTTCCCTGCACAGCAAAGACTTTTGGGTTTTCGTGGATAAAATCAATGTCAGTACTGAAACTCACCCTCCTCTCCTGCCGCACTCTCCCCCGTTGCCCAGGATGGCCAAGTTCAGGCCTATGCAGTGCCGCTTCCCTCTGAGCCTCCCTCTCGAGGGCCATGCAGGCAGCCGCAGCAGGGCCAGCTGCAGGATGGGGCTGCAGGTCACTGAACTGTCGTTCAAATACATCATATTTGTGGCCTCTTTCTCATGCGAGCAAAGCCGTGCGCTCTCCCGTCTGCTGTCACATCTGTGCCTGGACTGCGTAAATACTGTTTGCGACGGGGAGGTTTTAATCTGGTTATGCAGAGGGAAGCGGGGCGGTGGGGGCACGTTTAATTGGCTCCCAGCAGAGTGGTGAGCGCTTCTATGGTGTGTGGGGCTTTTTGTTCCCTCCCTCTAGAAGTGTTACCGTTTTCACGTCCTCTTAATGTCCTCTGGTTGTTAAATTATAGCAGCACATTATAGTGCACTGGGTTCCCTCCTGGAGTGAATAAATGAAGGGCATCTACTTGTGTTTTTAGAAGTTTTGGGAGAATGTAGTGATTTGTGGCTTTGATCAATCCTGTTGACTGGTGTATGTCTGTGCAAACCTGTTTCAAATAAATTTTTTGTTAAAGGAAGTGATTGGACTGTTTTATTTTGGAATTTTCTTTTCCACTAATAAGCATTTACTGCCACAGGGACTGTGGCCTGTAACACAGGGGTTTGTCAGCAGGTGCAGGCTCAAGGACACGTACACTGCCTGGAGAGCCGAGGCCCAGGCAACAGTGTTCACTGGCAGGAGCGCAGGAGAGTCTGAGTAGCAGATGAACACGTGCTGTTTTCTCTGAGGCAAGGCCCCCTTTTCTTTTCTTTTCTTTTCTTTTCTTTTCTTTTTTTTATTATTATACTTTAAGTTGTAGGGTACATGTGCATAACGTGCAGGTTTGTTACATAT